TCAGCAGAGTTTAGGGAGTTTAGTTTCCAGCTCATCCATCTAGATTGGAAAGCGGTAGCTATGTAGTGTAGAGTTTTACCTATCTAATTGTGTGGTGGCCTCCTTGGCCATCTCCTATTTTGTTGGTGCGTGTTGCTTTATTGAATAATATTGTCTCTTTTCAAAAAAAAAAAAAAGATTCATTTTTTAAATAAGAGCTATGTTATAATGATTACTTGATACATTTCAGCTTGATTCAAATTCTTTGTTCAGGGAATATATGAAACAAAGGTGCCTTTGGAGTTCAATGCAATTGTTCAGATTGGTTGTGTCTGTAAAGTGGATAAAACTGCTAAGAAGAGAAACGTCCAGGATGGTTGGAGTGTGAGTGAACTGCACATGAAGACAACTACTGAGTGCACATATCTGGATGAATCGATCTCTTTCTTTTACTTGTACCAGAGGTAATTCTTTTTTGTGTGTTACCTGTAAATTGGCTCCTTGATTGTATGAAGTTATGAAGCATTTTTTCCATGCTGAACTTTGGCTTAGGAAACAATTTTTTACAGTTTTCACATGCAACATAGCTTACATTTCTGCAGCACTAATAACGCAACTTCTTTTTCTTTTTCTTTTTCTTTTTAAGCTTATCCCTACAAAAATTTATCTGATATTGGAATGAGTAGTAAATTAATAGGTTTAATTTGTTGACCATTTCGATAGTCTCTTAGCCTTCACATGAGAACATATAGCCATTAATGTTAATGTTTTTAATGTCAGCACATCTGAAGGGCGAGCTATATTTATTGCCTATTTTCCTGCGTCAAGAACAATAACTATTGTGGTGGTAAATCCTTATCAAAATAAAGATTTGTCAGCATCTTTTCTTGAGAAACAATTTCGTGAAGCTTGCCAAGCATTATCAATTCAGCCACCCCCGAGGAATGGTATCAGTATTAAGGTGAACTTGTCAGTTTTTTGGGGTGAAAATTTCCCGCTGTTTTTTTCCACTTTCAATGGCTCATATATTTGTCCTCTTTTTCTTATGTACTAATTTTAGGTTGAGTATGTTGGATTTCCCAAGGATGCTGAAATGATTTTGCACCGTGCAATTAATGAGCACAGGTTTGATTCCATATTGGTTATCATTGTCGCAATGCTTTTCAAAAAAAATTGTCGCCGTGCTATTTAAAGTGCAATTCTTTTTTTTCTATTTTTTAAAATCCAAGATAGTTGCCTCCTATTGAAGTTTCTGCCTGATGCACAAGGATAGGTTTTGCGGGCACTATATATTTGAAATATTTTCTGATTTGGCCTAAAGTAACTGTATACTGCCCCTGACAAAGTGAAGGGCTAATATTAGTTATGTTTACAATGTTGCTAATGCACCATTGTTTGTGGGTGTAGGCTTGTCTTCACAAGTCATTTGTTAATTATGTTTTTAAGTTGCATGTAAGATAGTGTTCTATTGATCAGAGAATGCACAAGTTTTCTCATTGTTTCAGAGCATTTGTAAATTATCTTTCACGTACTATTTAAAAGTCATTTGTCAAGATTTCCACTTGGAGCTATATTTATATGGTATTCAACTGGGTAGGTTGCAAATTTTCTTGCAGTGTATTATGGAAATAATGCCCTTTTTGTTTAGACGCTTGGTTAATTCCTTATAAGGTTTTGATGCCTGACAGACATGAACATCATGGACCTACAGTTGCTGTTATTGAATGCCCAAATTTTCAGTTGATGAAGTTGAGTATAGGAGCTCTTGATGACTTTCCTTGTGTGAGCATTCCCTCTAATGCTCGTGATAGTAACTATCAGGTAGTCTATTTAGACCTAATAGACCTTCACTCTTCACATGCATTTTCTATTTTTATTAAGCATCTGATTCAAAATATTTTACTGCTTCGTACAGGTTCTTGGTTGGCAACAAGTGGCAGCAAAAATTGGAATGCAACGTTGTGCTGCATCACCTCAGTGGTTGAGGGAGAGAATTTCCCTCTCAAGATATGCCCATGTATTAACTTTGTTTCCATACCAACAATGTTTTTCTGTTAATCTGTTTGTTAATGGTAAATAAATCAATTTCTCAAACTTATTGGTGCAGGTACCATTGGGTAATTTTGAACTTGACTGGCTTATACATGCAGCAGATACCTTCTTTTCAAGAGCACTACGGGATCAGCAACAGGTATCTTGTACATCTTTGAGTTTTCAGTTGTAAGTAGTATCATAGCAGTAGGACTGAAGCTCTAACGTTGTTTGGATGGTTAAATCAGTCGAGGCTGTGTTTTCTTTTTTAATGGAGCGTTATTTAGATCTGTCCAAGAAAAGACCATTGATTTAGATCTTTGTTAGCTTGATATACATTATTGACTTATTCCCTAGCAACTTAAGCTTTTGGGATCCCATAGTTGAATTAAGATGGTATCAACACTTTGCTTTGTCAGAGCTTTGGGATTCTAAACCTCCATGCCAATTTTCCATTGCTTTTTTTCTTGTTGTTTTCATTTTAAGGTGCAGGGTGGGGCTGTACCTTCCTTTCCATGTGCAGGATGGTGCTGTACATGAGAGTGTGCTAGTTTAATAAATATTGGCTTTTGAGAGTGTTAGTTTCTGGAGTCTTGTGGTTGTGTAACACTTGTAAATGTTAGGTTTTCGATTATATAATGCATTGCATGGCTCATTGCAACTTTCCCCCATCCTTGAGTCTTGAATGTTGATTCTTACAGGTGCTTTGGATATCTGATGATGGTATTCCAGATCTAGGAGGCATTAATGAAGAAGATACATGTTTTGCCGATGAGGTTAGTCTCAAACTAACAAATAAATATACAAGGGCATTAAGTTGTTAAGAAAAGAAATTGGGATCCATCTCTTCTAATCATGGAATTAACTAATATCCAAGTATTAATTGTCTCTCAATAATCAAATTTTAATTTTATGTTCTTTTTACTTATGAGTGCCTTTTATGGAACAGGTCTATCAACATGACTTTTCTTTCCCGGGAGCATATAGGAAGGTCACTGTGGAGCTAAAGGTTCTGAATATTGTCAACCAATTATTTCCCGAGTTTGTATAATTTGAGACAGTTGTATTAAAATTTGCATCATGTTTCTATGTAGATACATCATCTGGCTGTAAATGCTCTTCTGAAAAGCAACCAGGTGAATGAAATGGAAGGAGGTGCTTTGCTAGGATTTGAATCAGATGTGAACTCAGGAGTACATACGTCTGATCTACATGTTGGCTTTGATGAAGCTACCTCATGTGCACCTACCCTCCGTGTCTTGAAACAGTTGATCCAGAGGTGTCTTGCAAATGCAGTAACATCTGGAAATGTGTATGCTGATGCACTATTGCAGCATCTATATCGATGGCTTTGCAGGTTGCCGTCTCTTGTTTCATACAACTCCTGTTTTGTCTCATATAATTACTGCTGTCCCTCCTATAAAAAAAATTACTGCTTCCCACTTTACTGGTTATACCTTCTTGTTTTCGACCCGAAGGCCGTTTCCCATCTCTTGTTAAATTTACCTCTAGTTTTTACTCATATACTTGTTGGTTCCTTCATAATGCAGCCCCCAGTCTAAACTTCATGATCCAGCTCTTCACCGCATACTCCACAAGGTAACAGTTTGTTTATAACATCACTTTTTTTTGTAAACATTGTATGGATATTATAGGATCAAATTAGGGTTGCAATGCAAGATATGTCATTTACTAAATAATATTAGCCTTTTCACAATAGTTAAGTGGCCTGGTGATAGTTCTTATTCTTTTCAAAGTTTGATGATTAGACAAATATATCTATTTTGTGTTTGAAAATGGGCCTAATCAACTGGTTTTTGGTTTCTTTCTGTTAAATTTCAATAGGTCATGTCAAAGGTGCTTGCAATTTTAATGATCGAGTTCCGCAAATTGGGTGCCAAGATTATATTTGCGAATTTCTACAAGATTATTATAGACACAGGAAAGTTTGATCTGTCAGGAGCCAAAGCTTATTGTGATAGCTTGCTTAAAACACTGCAAGCAAGGTTGGTTTTCATTTAGGAGTTGTCTCTGTAGGGGTGTGCGTGTGTACAGGTAATGTTTTCTTCCCAAACTGTGAACCTGGAGCACAATAACAATCAACCTATTCAATGGTCCAGATTCACAATCTGGCAACATAAGCATCTTATGATGTGAGATTGTCTGGGAAGAGAACATTTGTTTGTATACTTTTTCTTCTTTCTTGTTGAAATCCCTTGTGTTTGATATGCAGAGAACTATTTGAGTGGATTGAGCTTGAACCATTGCAATTCTGGCATTCTCTGCTTTTCATGGATCAGGTTTGGTCGTTGTTCTCTCTTCTTCTCCTTCTTGTTTACTCAAACACACACTAACACACTTTAATTTGATTAATTT